GTTGTAAAACAGCACACCAAGACAACTTTTAAAGTACCGCCTCTGACTTCTTCTCTATGTAACACATTCCAGCTCTACGATCCCACCCTGATTCGTGTGGAATACGGATGATCAGTGTACGTGAACTGGATCGTGGTCGGTGTCTTTCTGGCTACCGCTTGTGTTTGGTTTGTGTTGAAACAATTCCTCTACGTGGAGACTGCCAAAGCCATGATCTGATCTGTTCTGGTCTCTTCCCCACTTTTTCAGCCTTCTCTTTGTATATCCGTCTCTCATTTCCTGATAGCACATTTGCCATACCTTTTTACTTACCTGTCCCCATTTTACCTCAAATTTAAATCGACATCTATGCTTATAGCAGGAAAGCCAGGAAGTTGTCTTGGAAGCCTTTAAGTCTTTATGCTCATGGGATTTGATGCAGATTAGGGGGTTGCAAGAAACTAAGGTGTAGAAATCTACTCACTAAATTTACTATCAAATGAATGCGTACGAAATTGGATTTCTAGCATGGTAGATTTTAAGCAGTATAGTCACTTTGGATATCCTTTTAAGTAAAATGTGTCACAGGTTGCGAGACCCTTTTAGTCGGAAGTGAAACTCATTTGACAGCTAGTCTGTTGTACATGGCAATAATTGCATCAACTGCTATTTAGTGGTAGCTGAAGTGATAAAATTCCAGAAATGGGGCTGGAAGAAACAACAGGTAAGGGATGGTGAAATAGGGAAAGTAGTAGGTTGTGTCGATTTCACTCCAGGATTGGGAATGTATACGATGCTGAGATGTCGGTCACTTGGTCATGTACACCCAAGTATATGCCATCAACATGATGTTGAAGTTACACAATCAACGCAGATCCGACAGTGACAGAAAAGTTCGCCTTTGCTGCTCAGATATCGTCAAGGACAGGGAATATACGTCATTCTGTTGTCAAAGCAGACGTCTATTTTTGGCACCTATGGCAAGCTTGCCCAATTCGTGGGTGTGCCTACTCGTCTCTTTTACTTTGACTGGAATAATCAAAGTCACTGATTATTTTCTAAAACAGCAAAGTATATATTTAAGTGACATATCCTCTTTTTCACAACTAGAGTATACATTTTGCAAGTTCTTTGACACAGAAGTACGACGTGTGGTTGCATGACGGCTGATTGAGTGCCAGATATCTGGAGGGTTCAATTCTCGCCTCTTTGTGACATGTGAATTGACCTCCACCCTTATCGTGTGCTCTATCAGATTTAAGGTTAATCTGTAAGGAATATTAGCCTAACAGATAAAGTGAACAAGAGCAGGAGATTAGCTACCTCATAGAATGTTGGATCAATGGGCACGAAGCAAGGCAGCTGCTAGGGATAGTAGTAGAAACTCTATCCTTCTGGCAGTGGGTGTCCTCCTTCTAACTCTTACAAATCCCAGGTCTGAAGTGGTGAGAGCGTCGCCTCTCCCTGAAATGCTCCCACTTTTCTCTACTCTACGGATACCAGAGTATATATGATGATGAACGAAACATCAGGAATACTAGACACCTGCTACATATCGGGCAGAACTTGGCCACAGGAAGAAATTGCATTCTCTGGAATTGAATTAAGCATTTTCGCAATTGTCAAATGACCTGGAGGTGTTTTAATGGAGACTTTTGCCTTATAGCAGTATTGACCGATCCGGGAGAGGTAAACTGGGCGTGCATTTCAAGCAAATAGTCAGAAGCAGCGATTTTTCAGTGTCGTTGTGGGAAGTTTTAACTACGCATTTAGATCGCCTACATGAGGCGGCAGAGGAGCTTCGCCCCTCATTAAAGGAATACCTCCATTTGTAAGCGATTCATCTGGCACGACTAACAGGTAGACTGCATTTCTAGACAGTGTGTTAACTTACCATATACGTCACCCCCTCCGCCATCATTTGATGCATCCAAAAAATAAGCAAAGATGTGGAAGGACACACTGACGAATACCGTACGGGTAGCCTCAAGCCTGTCTATCAATTTAGGAGAATCCCAGTGAAGATGTAGGAAAATCGCAAGTCAGCGTGTCAGAGGAATTTGCAGGTTTTTCAGTTTCGAACATTTAGAGTTGGTCAGCTCGTCAAACTCCTCCTGGTTGGCCTTTAACATGTGGAGACACTTCAGAGGCCATAACTACCCAAGACCTGGTATTGAGAGGGAATAGAACCACTCCACACCTTAGCTTCTCTCCCGTAATCACACACACACATATGCTCAATCACTGCTACCTTCCCAGACGTCTGTGCTGCAATCATTGAATCCTCACTGCTCAACTGCGACCTGACATTGTTATGCTCAGACCTCATAAATCTACTGAGTTGCCTACTTCAGTTCATCCTTTTCCAATTTCAGCGCCTTGAGTCAAATTGAAGGGAAGTTGCACCAATTTGGGTTTATTAGAGAGCCTGATAATTGTGCCGTCTCCAATATTCTGAAGACGAACTTCCGAGCATCACAATTATTACCAATAAAAGAGGTGCTGTTGGCATGTCTTTTCCTTCATGTAATTCAAAGGCCAAAAAACACCTCGTCATGTCCCTTTTCGTCTTACCAAATCAAACTAACATGCATCTACCGGTGATTTTCTTTGAAAAGTTGGCACATTCGTAAGAGATACGACAAGCCAACATGTATCATCGTAGATGACAAGTGACCGACTGCTTGGGTGGTATCAGCAGGGAACGAATTATGCTCTGAATAGCGGGTAATAGATACTTTGAGCTTGTCGCTCTGCAAGCTGTAGAATTGAAAGAGACAGACGGATGTCATGTAAACCACATGTACGCCAAGATGCTTGTGCTTAAAGAGTCTGACATGCTTCTGATTTGCGATATGCCCATTTACAGAGACAGGTACTTTGGCGCAAGGCATCCGTATTCAAACCTGGTTGTGCACTGAAGCAGCTTCGCCTAGTCATACTTGGCACAAAGAACAAAACAATTTGTCCTAGAAACACCATTATTGCAGCTGTCCACTTATCAGTTTTGCTTTTCCTCCTCAGGAAATTCTCCATTGAAAGAAGTGGCATGCCTTCCTACGCAATTTCTTTCATCTGTAGAAGTGATGCGAACTAAACTAACAATTCCATCCTCCATTCTGACTAAACTTGGGTGTCAATTTGAGGGTCAGCCACTTTTCCAACCCTCCCTGTGACCTCCTCTCCACAAAGTCAGCCTTCTCTAATCAGCGATCAGCTGAGTCGCTTCAACTTGAATCCCTTGTTAACTTATCAATGAAGGTGTCAAGATAACGTATGGAGAAGAATCCCTAATTGCTTCCCAGTGAGTTCACTTCAAGGATTCATTTGTGTAGCTAAAGGTCGCTTTCCCCGATATTTGCCTATTTTTAACTTATATTTGGGTAAATAATTCGCATGCTGAAATAAAATGCCAACCTTATTTGAGACCCATATAAGTCACCTCACTTCCCACGGAAACTACCCCTTCTTTTCTTCCATGTTTGCAAAATCCAATTACCTTTGCACGGAATACAAAAGAAGTTGAATTTTACTCAGTTAAAAGTGGATTTTTGCTCTCAAAACAGCAGACACGTAGGCGCTAAGTTGCTTAAAATGTTTCAGTTCCTCACTTATTCATAGCTGTCATGACAATAGTGGAGATCAAAAAGGGCAAAAAAGTTGTAATTACATGTATCTCTCGACTTCCTCTATCTGTCATCTTGGTTGCTATCGTGGTTATTACCCAAAATTCCTTGATTTAAGATGAGATTGTTTTAACAGATTGTACGCAAGCAGCAGCGAATGATGATGCGCATCCGACTCAAACAGTCATGGTGACAATTCTTCCCCTTCACTTGTATCATCCTCGGTGTGTAGATGGTAGAGGGAGAAACTGTCTGGGCTGACCTACCACACGCTGATGTCCTCGGATGTCAAACGTCTTCATTTACTACCAAGAAGAATAAGGAAGAAGAAGTGGTGATGATGATGTACAAAAGAGCCTGCATAGAAGTGCTGAATTGTCCAACTAGCGATTAATGGTAAGTTCAGCTGTGATTGGTAGGCAAGTAGCCAAGTTCGTGGTAGGAAAGAATTCAACAAGCCAGCAAAGCCTTCTCCAGCACTTGGCATGGACTATAGCACCCTTCCTAAGCAGTTCACGTAAGATGAGAAAAAACATGTCGTGGCTGAAGTCACTGGACGGAACCACGACACATTTCAGTGTAGGAACCCACAATCTGCCTCTCCACACTGCCATGCGCAAAGGAAAGGCTTCATGCGGATGAAGTGGGAGATTACAGAGCATGCAAATGGGGATTTGTGTCCCCTCTTTCCCAGTTATTGTGGGGCATTAGGTGAGAAGAAGAGAATGGAAATTCTGGCATGCAGTGAAAAATGGAATTTGCGAAGCATGTGAGAAATGCCTTACATCCAATACTGCATTAAAGTGGCAAAAATCTGAAGAATTTCCTTTCAAATGTCCTTTTTTCTTTGATAGGGTGACAAGAAAAGCAGCCCTTTTGTAATGAGAAATAGGATCATTTCTTTTTACCCCTTTACTAAAGTCGAAGTAGAAGAGAGACAAGAAAAGTGGCTATTTGTCATGTCCAATGATGCCCATTGAGGGACTACGTCTCACAGAGTGGCTGTCCCCATAGCCGTGTCGATTAGCTATCTCGACGGTGGGAAGAGGCCAGCGAAACCCATGTAGAAGAGATCCTTAATTCCTTCTGCCTAGCAGGGCGTACAAATTCACCTTTTACCAGAATCAG